GATCCATTCAGCATTTTTTCACCCGTTTCTTCTCACTGAGCAATATTATCTCTGTCATTGATAATTATCTGGAGTTTTGCCAGTCCCCTTTCTCATTTAGTATTGCTACTGTTTATTCTTCTAGTATATTGCATCCTTGCCACTAGCAATTTCATCAGCCTTGTGTGGGGGATTCCTAGTGAGATACCCTAGACTTAAGTCTATAGTAACACAAATTTTAGGTTCTTCTTTTTAAAAATAAATTATTTGTTTATATTTATCAAAATTAAGTAAATAAAATAAATTTATAGTACATAATAAAATGAATATTTTAGAAGAAGTTTGCCAGGTCTTAGTGAGTCCTGGATTTAAACTCACTAAATCTCTTCTGCCTTATGTCTAAATTGGGGTATTAATAATCTCTATCTCACAGTATTATAAGAATTAAATGAACAAAGTGCTCAATAGTGTGAGCTCTTATGATTAGTTCTCAACATTTTACAAGTAATTAGTTAATTAGGAAATATTAAAATGCAGGCATCATTTTTCCTAGCCAGTGTAATTTTCACAATAATATAAAATTATTTCCCCACAAACACAAATATGAAAAGCTTTAACTAATAAATTCAAGTCACTTAGATGCCATTTGACTTTCAAATGAATAGTTTGCTAAGTGCTGCTCAGGTCACCTAAATTTTTTAATGCCACTTACCAGTGGGCACTGATTTTGCACCAGGACATTTGCTCAATAAACATTCAACAAACAAGAAACAAAGTAACATTACCAGATTATTTCCTGTATCTTTTGGCCTTTGTGATCAGTGTTGCACCTACCTACAGAGAACAGCAGGGAATAGTTTGTGCATTAACAATTTTTGATTCAGTACTACTCACAATACAGTAAGTGGATCAATAGAGAATAAGCTCATTTATCTTACGGATTTTTTGAAATGTCAAATTAGTAGAATTAAGCTGTGAGCATTTCCCAAAATTATCATCAGGAGTAGAGGAAACATGGGCAACTATTAAATAAGTATAGACTGTGTTTATCTGCAAAATGCTTGTGATTTTGCTTGGCTGAAATATGGGCTATCACAGAGAATAGAAATTATAAAAAGTCATAATGCTGGATATGAAACAGTCACCACAGGGCCTGGCACACTGTAGCTCTTCAGAAAATGAGAATTCCTGTTCTCTGCTCCCTAGGCTATCACTGCTCTACATCAGCCAAGAGCTTGCTACAGTTGCTGCAGCCCCAGCATGCTACTTCAACAACTGTGCCATGGCACTGTCTTTCCAAGAAACTCTCACTGCTTCTGAACTTCCTAACTGACATGGCACTTAGCATTTACTGCCTGGTATCGTTAACACTCTTTCCACATGTTTCAGCCTATCTCCTCCGAACTGGATCACAAGCTCTTTGAGGGAACGTTTGTTTTTATACTTCTTTGATTTCACTGTATGCTGGGTGACCAATTGCTTAAGACCCACACACTCATATCACTTCTCTCATGCAAGGAAGCCTGTAGGAGCCATCTCCTATTATAAAGTTCAAAACTCAAAGTGATGTCTTGACTTAAGGTCATTAAGAGGACGTGCTAAAACAGGTTTTGAGGGGAATATTGTGGGGCAGAAAATATTAACGGAACTCTAGCCTAAAAAGAACGCTTACTTGATCCAGGTAGACTCCAACATCTCCTAATACTCCGTCACAGCAGCCTTATGGTTCAGTGAAGTTTCCCTTTACATATTTAAGGAGAGAAGTAAGTATTCACCTGGGTTCAAACCTTGCGTTTTCACTAACTGGTTGTGTGGCATTGGAAAGTTACTTTAATTCTCCATACTTTAGATTTGTCATCTGAAAAATGTGGATAATATCAATCTGCATCAGTTGGAAGTTTAGAAGAAAGAAATTATACTAAATATTTCAACAGCAGTAATTCAGTATAGAGAATTGGTTTTCCTGGGGTTGGAAGGCTGAATAAACAAAAAGGAAAAATAGAGGTAACACGGACATAGCAAATGCAGAAGGCTTAACCCTTAGGGCTGGATACACAGAGGGAAGAAGTGCAGTTATCAGAACATAGAAACACAGAGCAGGAGTTGTGAGGAGTGTCAGTGAGCCAGGGTTCTGTCTTTGGACAAGATGGCGCCCCTGACTGATGTAAGATTGTCCGAGGAGGCCCAGTGAGTTTGGTTCTGGAATGAAGGCTGAAACCATCTGCTGCTGCTGAGGTGCCCGCGTCCACTGAGGGAACAGCATGCGCACCACAGCAGGCAGTCCCTTCTCCCCTCCTCCTGCCTGCCAGTCTTCCCTTGGTTCCTCTGGTAAGAAAAAGCAACTGAGGTCAGCTGGCAAAGAAGAATGAGTTTTACTGAGTACAAACCCCAGCGTTACAAAGCAAAATAAATAAAGGTGGGTTTGGAGTCCAGAGAAAATAGTATAATAGTCTATTTAAGAAAAAAAAATAATAGTGCCAACCCCATAGATTTGCTTTAAAAATTATGGTATTGCGACAGAGCGAGACTCCGTCTCAAAAAAAAAAAAAATAATTATGGTATTGTGTTAGAACACTTAAAACAGAGAATGGAACATAAAAACAACTAATACATGTTCACTATTTATTATTGTATTGGTGTTGTCATATAATAGACATTCAGTAAGTATTTGGTTATACACTTGATATGGTTGTGTCCCAGACCCAAATCTCATTTTGAATTGTAGCTCCCATAATCCCCACATGTTGTGGGGAGGGACCTGGTGGGAGGTAATTGAATCATGGGGACAGGTTCTTCCTGTGCTGTTCTGCTGATAGTAAATAAGTCTCACAAGATCTGATGGTTTTATAAAGGGCAGTTCCCTTGCACGTGCTCTCTTGCCTGCTGCCATGTAAAATGTGCTTGTGCTCCTCCATTGCCTTCTGACATGATTGTGAGGCCTCCCCAGCCATGTGGAACCATGGTCCATTTAACCTCTTTTTCTTTATAAATTGCCCAGTCTTGGGTATGTCTTTATTAGCAGAGTGAGAATGAACTAATACAACATTTGAATACATAAATGGTTGAATCTACCCTGTTATTTTCCTTCCTTTCTATTGTGCCTCTATCTAGCTTGTTCTCTTCTTCCTGCTTAAAAAATTTACATGCAATAATTCATGTTATCAAACATTTTCTAAAAAATTATGTAAAATGCTATATAGTGAAAAGTCTTCCTTTGAATTTGCTGATTCTTATTAAAATTTATGTATGCATTAATAAGCAATATACATATGCTGGCTCTCCTTAGCCTGCTTTCTACTGTTAGGGTTTTCTCTACTCTTTTTAAGTTCATTTCTTTCTGTCTTTGTCACTCACTCTTTTTCTTTCTTTCTTTTGCCTGCCTGCCTGCCTTCCATCCTTGATCTCTCTCTCTCTCTCCTCCCTCTGTCTCTTTTTGTTTTTTCTCTCTGCTTTTTCTTCCTTCCCTTCAGTTTCTTTTCCTTTCCTTCTTTTTATCCTTTATGACTCATTATATTCTTTGCAATGTCTATTCCCTTTTTTCCTTCAATTTTATCTTTGTGCATAAGATGGCTTTGCTTTTTTCTTTGATATCTTTGCTTAGATACTTCATCTTATCTTTAATCTCTTTTGTTATATCTTTTCTAAGATACTTAGTTTTTGTTTGTGGTCTTCTTTAATAACAGCAATAGCTTTATTAATATATTTTGAATTATTGTCTGTTGTTAGCATGATCTCTGCAAATATGAACGGTCTGTGTGATTCTTTGTGAGTTAAGCCTTCTCTACTTCTCCACTAAACTTGCTCACTTGTTGCTCTTACTTGTAATAAAGGAGGGTGATAGCTTTTGCACTTTAGGTTATGAACCTCACACTTAGGAAGTGTATTTTTGCTGATGCTTTCTGAGATTTGACATGCCAGGCCCTCTTGTCACATCTTCCCATCTCTCCTCGCGTTTGCCATCTATCAGTCCCAGTTTTTGCAGACTTTATGTATATTTATGAATTATAGCTGTCTCTTAGTTTAACTGAATATTGAACTTACTGGCTTTAAAAATATTCTTAATGCTTTAAAAATGTGATTTCTTTGAAGAGAAGTATAAAATGCGGACTATTTCATTATGTTCATATAAGCAATATTTATTCCTGTTTTTGATTGTCATAAAATTCTCTAGAGAGCATTTTGGGCAAATTTCCTAATTTTTTAATGTTTTGAGCTTTCCAAAGTAAGTGTACTTGGGGCTTTCATTCCAGGAGTGGGGATAGATATTTGCTAAATCAACCACCCTCTTTCACTGAGTCTCTTATGAAAGAGTTGCCTAGGGTGAGAAGTGTGAAGACCATCTAAATTAAATTTGTTTTTTTATTGGGAAAAGTACTGCTGGATCTTACTAATACCCTTGTTTTATAGAAAGCAATTTCTATGTTATTTATGATCATATAACATTACATCAGAGATAGAAAGAACCACAGTTGCATCTTGCCTAATACATCACTTGAAAGATGAGGAAACTGAGTGAAGAGTCTGAAACGGACTTGACCCATAGTTTCAAGGCCACAATGTGGACCAGAAAGAGGGCATATGTAAAAGTAAGTTGGAGGATCTAGGAAAAGTCTAGGATCTAGGAAAGGGTCTAAGCCACTGTCCAGAGTACACATTCTAGTGGGCAGGGCAAATGTGTATCACAAGTTTGCCTACATAGCCACTTCTTACTTCATCTTACTTTTGCAGGCTAAAACAGTAAGCTGGAGGAGGTAATGATTCTACATAAGGGGAGCCCCATATGTTAATCTTGCTTCATTCTTCTTAAATGCACGCTCTAGTGTGCTAATCTCTCAAGTCTCTTTTTATATGGAACCACAGAGACAACTACAGCTTTGCATCTAGACTATCTAATTAGTGCTTTCAGAATCTTCCAATGTTACTCAGCTTATCTCTATTGTATTTCAGGATGGAACAAACAGGCAGTGATAGTTAGGCAGGCATAGTTCCTCTTCTTGGTATAAAAGAAGATGCTCTCTTACCACCAATCAGCATGGTGCAGATGGAGAAGATCTTTTCTGCATCTGTATTAGCAGAGACGTTCCCAAAACCCACGCTAGTCAGGCTGCTCAGCGTGAAGTACAGCGCGGCAATATAGGCACTTCGGATCGACGGGCCCCCCAAGGTATTGTTGCCATAGTACGGAGATTCCAGTCTCTTTCCCAACTCATGAAGCCAACCTGCAATGGAGGAAATAATGCAAATGAGAGAACAAAAAGTAAAGTCTCAGTATTAACACATGGGAGTAATGATAAATAATATTTGGGGAAGTAATAATTTGCTCAGGGGAAGAAGAAGGTAAAAAGGAAATTAAAGGCAAGTTATTACATTTCATTCTTTAAAAGTGAAAATATAATTTTCCTCATGCTGTTCTCTATAATACACACAGCATATAAACATGAATTCCAGAGTGGATTGATGGACAAAGCTAAACAAGTTACTCTAATGCAAGAAACAAACTGCAGGAATGGCTACTCTCAGAAGCAGTGTTGCTTATTTCACTTGCCCTGTTAAGCTCATCTCATTTGGAATTATAAGAAGAAACAAAGAGTTGAGTAAATATTTCAAAACCCAAAGTGATGATAAATTACAACAGCCATGAGTCTAGATGTCAGAGGTGAGAAGTCTAGAAGTCTAGGTGAGATAGACTTTATTTCCATTCTGTAAAACTCTTCCCCTTTGTATTCACTTGGGGAGGTATCCACTCATCTTACAAATCTTAGCTCATGTTACTTTACTCAGGAAGTGTTCTCTGCAGTCCCATTTTAAAATCAGGGTTGAAAGGGGGAAAATGCACAAGTAATGAATACCTGTAATCTATCAGAACTGAAAGCCCCTCTACAAACTGTTTTATGATACTATGTATATATGTTTCAAAATGTATCAAATTAAATGCTTTATAAATATATATATAGTTAATTGTATATTAATTATGTTGTCAGAAAGCTGTAAACAACCTGTATTAATAAACATGAGAAGACAGCAAGTATAAACTTAATATTATCTAGAATTTAAACACAACACAAAAATCACTTTAAAATTATTTATTGAAAATATTTGTCCCTTAAGATTTTATACTTTATAATTCTCTCTTTCTCTCTCTATGTGTGTGTGTTGTAACAAGCAATAACAATGCAGCTCAACTCATAAGATTCATAAGGCTTTTTGTAATGGATACTAACTACTACTTTCTAATAAATACTTCATTGAATGGCTGCTCAAGAAGAGATGAAAAACCATTACACTCTTAAGTAGTAATAATATTATCATTATCAACTAAGCTTATATATGATAAAACTGTGCTAGGTAATTAAAATGCAAATTTGAAGCAGCTGGGAATTCCTTGAGACCAAGGAGAAGTGCTTAGGGGCAAGTACTGGGCCTTATTCCTTCTGTGTTGCTACAGAGTGTTTTTCATCCTTTAACTTGCATCAGAAACAGCTAGAGGGCTTGCTAAAGAGGGTCTAAACCAAGCATTTATTTGGTTCTTTTGGTCCTGTATTCTCTGAATGAAATCACTTTGCGTATCATTTACTTTCCTTAATAAAATAGGATAAAAATGTGTGTCGGAATGCACAGATGATATGCTTGCTTAATGTCTGTTAGTTTACACATGTGTGAGATGGTGTGTCTCTGAAGTGGTTCAGGGAGCAACACACAGACAAACAACTGACCTAATTTTGTTGATATCTCTTTTCTGTCTAGCCAACTGTTTGGTCTATTTTGAAAAACATCTCATTCTTTAAAAGGATTGCCCTAAACTGTGTTACAGCTGATGAAGCAGAAGCAATAATGATGATGAAAAAAACTGGTAACACAGAAAGGAGGTAACACCCACAAATCCGGGGATTGGCTATGTGGGCCAAAGAAAACTTTTTCACAGAATGGCTCTTCTGAAATGAGAGCACATGTTCCACTGTAACAAGACAACATGTGACTGAACTGTTACAGAAGAAGCAATTTAACCAATTTGGAATCCAATCATTTTTTATGCTGGAGAAACTCATGTCTTTAAAGGAAAGGATGTCCTAGAACAGCCTGTTTCTGCTGCTCAAATATTTTTTTTCCTAAAGAACATTTTGAAGGAAACAGCATACACAACATAAAGTAGAATCTAAATATACTGAGTGCACTGACTTATGATAAAAACAAAAGATATCATAAAACAATCTCATAATTAGTAAAATTGATTCCATGAATATAATAGGTTTATGAAATAAATAATCAATGTCAAAGACAGAACGACTCTTAAGAGTCATTCCTAGAAGAGTTTATCATTAGCATGATAATTCAGTTGCTGTATTTTTCATTGCATACTTACCATGGACCCAGTATTTTGCTTAATTACATACTTTTAACTCTAAACAGGAGTTTCTTATTTTACTCTTTAGATTTCCTACAACAGTATACTTTGGTTTACTATTTACATGTGTGCATTCACAATGTGTACAGGTGTGATCTGTTTTATACAACAGATGTGTTCCTAAAAACTCTGATTTATGTTAGCATATGGTAAATTAACATGTTTTAGGTTTAATATAAGGAATGTGAGCATGTTATTTAAGGAAAACCTACGGAGAATCTCTGTGGTTATATAAAATACTTCAGTAATATGAAAAACCACCCAGTACAAGATAAGCTTGTTAAATCGGATTTAGATGTTTGCTAAACGATATGTGTGTGGAGAGAAAGGGGAAAAATAATCAGCAAGTACTTAATCACACCTATAATTCAAAATGGTGTTCTACTTAATTTGGTATGAATGAGCCATGTTGTAAAAGAAGTTAGCTAGCAGCAAGAATGGGGCCCAGGTGAGGGTTTCCTTGTTAGCAGGTTAGTACATGGTCAACATTTTACTAACTGCTGCCTGTGCTCTAGATACTCTGCTAAAATGGTACATCCCATCTCATTTACGTGCACTAACCCTATGGAATAGGTACAATTACAGTCCACATTTTGGTTCATTATTTCATTAATAATCACAAAGAGTTAGGAATTGTTATCTCTTTTAAAGATGTGAAAAATATGGCTCAGGGACATTAAATAACTTGTTCAAAGTGGCATTATCAGAATTTTAACCCAGAGGTAATCATTTTGCTGTATTTTTTTTCCTCCAGTTGTCTTTTGGGCATATTTTGATTCTTTTTTCTTCAGTTTTATTGAAGTATAATTGATAAATAAAAATTGTATATATTTATAGTATACAACATGATGTTTTGATATACATATACGTTATGAAATGATTACCACAATCAAGCCCAGTAACATATCCATCAACTCACATTATCTTTTTTTGTGTGTGGTGAGAACATTTAAGATTTATTCTTAGCAGTTTTCAAGCTTTAAATACATTATTAACCTTACAAGAGTTCATTTGTATAGTTATCTCGTGATGCTGTACAAAATATCATTTCAAATTATCATTTTAAATTGTGCTATGTTGAGATCATTATTAAATAAGTTTGCACTTCCCACTTTAGTGGGAAAATGTGTCCCAAAAGCATAACCACATACCAGAGAAAATAGAATTATCCAAATGCAGTCTACAATATAGACATAGTATGCCTTGGTATTTAGAACCTGGATATTACTTTAACAGTAAATAAGAAGTATCAAATGCAAATTCCAAGAATTTAAAAATACTCTTACTAACATTTGCTTCCTCTCTCTCCACAATTCTGAAGGTCCACTTAATCAACCTCGTGGACTTCATTAGGATGAGAGGTGGAAAAGCACTGTGATGTTTGATGTAAAAGGTGGCAGGCGGTTTGCTGGGAGAGGCAGAGCATTAGAAGAAAATTATTATGATGGGGCACAACATGGGAGCTTCTCCACCCTCTTCAGCCTCCTAAGCAAGGGCCTGAAGCATGGGACTACTCAGCTGCAGAAGTGACTGAGAGATATCAGGATAAGTTTCAGAAGTCTGAGTGTGTGTGTGTCTTTATGTTTGTGTAAAGGGAGATGGAGTGGGATGGTTATTGGTGAAGTATTTATTACTGCTACAAATACTGAATAAGAGCGAATATCAGAGAAAAGCTTGAGATTTCATCTCTATTGCTCTTAAAATATCTATACTTCATAGCATTGATTACAAACATCATTGAAAAGAAACATACTTACATATCTGTCTCTGTGCTTCAAGGTTAATCTAGTGCCCATGACTATAATTTTTGGGGTGTTTTTGTTGTTGTTTTGCTTGAAAAACACTTTTTGTTATGAGATAATTTTAGATTTACACAAAAGTTCAAAGTGTACAGACAGCACCTGTATAGCCCACATCTTTCGCTAGTTTCCTCCAGTGCTGATATCTTATGTTATCACAGCACATTTGTAAAAACTATAAAACTAACATTGGTACATTACTATTAACTAAACTATAAATTTTTCACATTTTAATTTCAGAGACAGAGTCAAAGAGGTTAGAGACTTGGATCCCAAAGCTCACTCTGAACCCTTCACCCCTTTTCCGTTTTATGAGATGTGATCAAGGATAAGGCTAGAACGGCACAAAGCTGTAACGGCATTTAGTGTTGACTTGTTGTTTTACTTAGAAGGCACCAGTAAATTTAGGTCCCAATTCGGCAGGAAAGCAGTTATTACTTGGAATTCCCACTAATGTCAGACTTTGATTCTCACAGAATAAGAAGTATCTTACATTTCTGAATTCGTACAATCTACTTTTGAGATAAACATCTGAAACAAAAGTAATTAATCATAAAATAGTAAAGACTGGACTTTGAGTCAGGAAATTGGGGGTCCTATGCTTGGTCTTGCTACTAATTGGGTAGCTCTGTGATCCTTCATAGAATTCCATTTTTTAAACTTAAATATGAAGTGATTAGATTGAGTAATCTCTAGGTTCCCTTTCACATCTAAGATTTTGTGAAATAATATTCTGCAAAGCTTCTTCACAAATGACTGACCTTTTTTAAAGGCAAAATTCTGTGTAAAAAGTATGACTTTTTGAATTTATCTTTCATTTGTTTTAATTATTCGAGGGAAGATCCATCAGCAAATATTGATGGAATAAAGATGGCAGATTTTCACATTCTCATGTATGTATCACTTGTGCTCTATTTCCATGCTGAACAACCTTCCAGAACAAGCAATATTACATATTGTTAGTACTGTCAAGAAAAAAATGTGGCATTTGCATTAAACTAGTCCAGAGGCTGCCAGT